CATATCCTCTTGTGTCTTCTTGATAGTTTCTATGTCCTTTTCCAGGCTGATATCATTTGCTGTAAGATCCTGATAGTTTCTCTGCAGTTTCTCATAGTTCTCTTTGAGCTGGCTGAGCTCATTGAGCTTCCTTAGAACCATTGTTTTGAATTCAGTATCTGATAGTTCCCTTGCCTCTATTTCATTGAGCTCTCTCTGTGGGGAGTCCTCTTTTCCACTCATTTGGGGGGAACTTCTTTTTCTTCCCATTTTTGTGAGAGTCTGTTAAGTATTTTTGTCCTTTACTTTTCTTTCTGGGCTTGCCTCTGATGATGTCAGTTGTTGACCCTATAGGGCCTTGGGTTGTTTGTTTGAGCCTTTCGGGAGTCTAATGCCTGTGTCTGACTCCTGCTTGGAACAGCTCTGTGACCCCTTCGGTCAGGGCTGGGCTATTTTTTGGGATCTCTCTGCGCTCTCACGAGAGCTCCTTGAGCGTGTTCCCAGCGCGGCAGGGTCCCCCACCTGCCTGGGCTCGCATGTGTTTGCCCCAGACCAGGGGGCTTATTCGCGACCTCCCGTGCTCATCTGGCCTGCCTGGCACGCGAGCTTCGCGGCACTGGTCAGTTTAGGGTCTTCTATTGTGTATTTTCCCCGCTTTTGGCTCTTTGGGTGCGTTGCTTGCCCTCGCCAAATGGGAACTACGGAAATGGGAGGAAATCAGCTCTAGGACTCTCCGGTTAATCCTGTTTCTGGTCTCTCCTCCAGGGACTCTGGGCAGCTCTACTTATTTTGTGGGCTGCTCCGCAATCGCGGGTGGGTAGGTCAATTTATGCCTGCCCTTGCCCCTCTGTGCAATCCCTCGCAGGCCGTATGGGTGCCAGTCTGTGTGAGGCCTTGCCGGCAGGTGCAAGTGTTCGCCAGCCCGCGTGGGTCACACACACGCTCGCCAACCCTCGCCAGTCACTCGGCGCAAGTGTGCGCGCCTGCTCCGGGTGTTTTGGGGGTGTCTATGTTTGCTTTTCAGCTTTTGGCTCTTTGGGGGTGTGGCCTCTTCCCGCGCAATGGAGACTTCAGCAAGGAGAAGGAGTCAGGACTCCCTGGTTCCTCCTCCCGTTCTTTCCCCAATGCCTCCTTTTCTAGTCTCCCCTCAGGGGCCTCTGGGCAGTTCTGTGACCCCTTCGGCCGAGGATCCAACCCCTGTGCGGACTGCGTTTCAATCGCAGGCAGTCTGGTTCATGTGCCCCCGCTTCTGCCTCTTTGGGGTCGCGCCTTTCCAGCCCACAGTGGAGACTACCGAACGGGGAGGGAGTCGGGACTCCCCGGTTCCTCCTCCTGTTCTTTCCCCAATGCCTCCGTCTCCAGTCTCTCCTCAAGGCTCTCCCAGCCAGTCTGTACTCAGCCCCGTAGCTCACAGGCGTACAAGCTGTGTGCGGAGCGCACAAAAGGCAGGTTAATTGATTCCCTTATGCCTGAGCGAGATGGTAGCTGCAGAGTGGGAAGTGCCTTATCACCCGGGCTCCACCGGCCGCCGTGTCAGTTCTCTTCACAAAGTTTTCCTCACCAGTCTTTTCCCAGGCACCAGCCCACCCTGCTGCCGCCTCTACCCAGCGATCAAGGAGGGTGGCTGCTGCTGCAACTTTTGCATTTGCCCTTTAAATGTCTTTTTGCATCCCCAGCCACCTGTCTCTGGCAGAGAGCGCCCCTAAGCTTTTTGGGGTTGCGTTTTGTCTGTATTTTCTCGGCTTTAGTTGCTGTAGTTTAGGGTTCCTGTTTATGATTCAGACCCCGTTCTTCTCGGGGGGACGCTAACTGGCCGTTTCAATGTCCCTCTGGTGCCAGTGCCCGTGCACACCCAGCCCACCCTCTCGAGCCTCCACCGCAATTCTCACCCGTTGGGATGTGTGAGAGTCGAATCCACTGTCCGCGGCACCAAGGCTCCTCTCCCACTATTGCTCCACTGCTTTCCAGGTGATTACTCCATTATTTAGTTGCAATTCCAGTTTGGTTTTGGGAGGAGGTCAGCGTGACTCCCTTTCACTCCTCCGCCATCTTTTTCTCCTGTATCCTTTACCCATTTATTGATTGAATGTTTGTAGAACTTTTTTCCCTACAAAAAACAAAACAAAACAAGAAACATATTAACCATGTTTTAGATGTGTTGGAAATACTTTTCTATTCTATTTCTTGTCCTTTAACTTTTTTAATATGTATATTACTATATAGTTAAATGCTTAATATAGTCATATTGTCAATATTTACTTTATAACTTCTGGGGTTGAATATTTTACTTCAGGTCATGAAAAATATTAGTTCTATATTCTTCTGAAACTCCTTAGATTCAACATACTGATTTTTAACTCACCTGAATATTTCTTGGATAATGTGTGAAATAGGGCTCTATCTTTGTTTTATTTCAAGTAATAATGGTCCATGCACCTTATTTGTTGAATAAGGCTTATTTTACCCATTGATTTGAAATATCAACTTAATCATATATTGTTAGACAGATATATACATTTGTCTCTAGAATACTAATTTTATTTTATTGATCTACTTGATTATTTCTGTGCTGGTGTCATGTTGGTTTAATTGCTGAGACTTCATAATGGTTTTAAATTTTTTAATATTTTATAATTAACTTTGACATTAAAAAAATAAATAAAATTAATCTATATTTAAGTAAGAAAGAGAGAGAGATGGAACTCCTACCTTTTGTGACAACATGAATGGAAGTGGAGAATATTAAGCTAAGTGAAATAAGCCGGTTGATGAAAGATAAATACCATATGATTTCACCTGTAAGTGGACTCTATTCAACAAAAGAAACTAATGAACAAAATAAACCACAGGTGCGAAACATGGAGCAGACTGAAAGTGACCAGAGGGGATGGGGAAGGAGGACAATGGTGGGAAAGAGGCAAAGGGACTAGACAAAGAACATGTATGAATGACCCATGGACATGGACAATAGAGTGGGAATTAGGAGCAAGGGATGAGGGTGGGATGGGTGGAGGGGGTAAGTGGGGAAAAACTGAAGCAACTGTAATAGAATAAACATGATTTATAAATAAAAAATTAAGAAAAAAGAAAATTTTCATATTAAAGTGATATAAAAAAGAAAAATTAAAAAAGAAGCAAAACAATAATATTAAGATCAGATAAAGGAGAGTTTACGACAAATAATATTACCAAAGAATAAAGAGGGGACATTTCTTAATGACACATAACTCAATTCATCAAGAAGATATAATAATCTTAGATGTGTATTCACCTAATAGCAAAACTTCAAAATACAGGAAGCAAAAAGTGACAGAACCACAGGGAGAAATAGACAAATACACAATTATAATTTAATATTTTAACATCCCTTCCTTAGTGAGTAATAGAACAATTAGACAAAAAAAAAATCCAGTAAGCACATAAAAGATTAAAAAAAACCACATTATCAATTACCTTGAACTATTTTTTTTTAGATCACTATATGCCAATCCAGCTGAATACATCTTCTCTTCAAGTGGATATGGTACATTCAGCAAGACAGTTTCATGGGCTGGGCCATAAAATAAACTTCATCAAATTAAAAAGATTGAAGTCATACAGAGTGTGCTCCCTAACTGCAATGAAATCAAAGTAGAGATCAATAACAGAAAGATATCTGTAAAGTTGCCAAATCTTTGGAAATTAAACAACATGTATCTGAAAAGAAAAATGAAAAAGGAAAATAGAAGATATTTTTAACTGAATGACAACAATGGCAAAATTAAAAACAAGCCAATGAAATGTGAAGAGAAAGATGGTATGGGGAAAGATATGGACCAATTAAAATGGGGAGCAGTAATAAGGTGTTATGTGGTTAGGTAAGGGAAAAGAGGCCAAGTGAAGTCTAGACTGAGAGAAGTGGAAAAGAAAGTAGGTGTTCAAAGATTTCCCAGGAATATATGATAGTAACACATTGCTTTGACAATAACTAATAACTTGTGATCTCCTTACTGATTACAAATCTCTTATTCAGCCATCAAACTCCCCTCCCCAATCTACATGGTTTATTTATCATGCCTGTGTATGTAGATAAACATTGTACCCTTGCAGGTAGGGAAATTATCTCTAAGAGAAACTATGCAGCAAATACAGTTATTCTACAAATTTAACAAACACACCATCTAAGCCAATGTTGTTTAGCTCTAGGGGATTGGATGCCCTTGGTCCTTACTCATTCATCTCTGTTTGCATGTGTGCTTGCATACATCCTGTTTATTGCCTACATTCTCTCACACTACTCTCTGTTTAGAAAGCTTCTTGCCATTGCCAGCCAGTCTAAACATCATGCACACTTCTCAGAAGCTGCCTTCTTTAACCTAGATATAAGGGCTTTCATGATGTATCTTTAGGTGGACAGCATCTCTTCCTTGAAGCTGTTGTGCAATTTTTATTGCTATTAGTGTTTCACCTCCTGCTTGGGGGTGGGGGGTGAGGAGAGACCATGTCTACATTGCCTCAGGGATCACTTAAAGAATTTTGCTGAGAGTAGGTGCTTAGTATTTATTCTGGAATAAAGCAAGAAGAAAGGAATCCTGATAGAAGCAAGAAGGAAGAAAAGGGTGACTTTCCTTATTAATACAACTCTTGGGTTTTCATAGACATACTATTATTTAGAATCCCTAAAAAGATTTTTTATACAGAATACTTTTTAAAGAAGAGTGTGCTACTTTTGTTTTACTAGCATTCTGAACACGCAGAAAACATTTGCTGAGTAAAATGCCAAATTTTTTACCTGGGAGTATGTAATTTCCTGTCCTAAAAGCCTAAAAGCCTGCCTGTTGTATAACTTTGAGGTAGACAGCCCATCCTCTCAGTGTTTTTTCATCCTGAAAATGTCAAGTGTGACCCATTCTACCTCAAGTCTCTGGATTTTCCTTGAGAAAGTCTACAAAGACCGTCAAATACCACAGGGAAGAATAAAGAGGGACAATTAGTAACTGTTGACTAAACATTGAAAATCCAACACATAAATAACAACTTACAGTGATTCCATCTAGTCCAGGCAGTCCAGGATACTCCTGAGAAACAAAGGCAAGACACTGAAGAGATTAATAAATCAAGCCTATGGTATTTTATAGAAAACTGACCTAAGATGCATGGGCATACAAATGCATTGCTAAAGCTTAGGCCTTTTCTGTAAAGGTCTTGTGTTTTAAATAATGTATGAATTGGATATGTTCAATCATTTACTATTTTCCTAAGAAAAATATGGAAGACAAATATTATAGCCTTCATTGAATAAAATTCCACATTTTACTTGAATTAATTTTCACCTTTGCTAGGAACTTAACTGGAAACTGCTTCTGTGGGCTCATGTTTTCTCCTTCTCATTTTGGAGAAAAGTGGGCTACCTTCCCATGTGCCCTCATTCCTAGAGAATCTGCCCATATGTAAACAATGCAAATCAGACATTTCAAGGGAGAATCAACAGAGCATACAGTTTCTGATTACATTTTAATTACTTTGTAGCATCTTAAGTCACTGTATGAATCTGTAATATAACCATCTTGTGGAAATTACTGTGTTCCACTGGGTCTAAGGACTCTCTGATTTTTGGCCAAACCATGTAATCAATGTTTGCTATGACAATGGCCATATTTGGACACCTGCTAGTCTTACTACACTTGGTTTATGGTAAAAAAGCAGCTCTCTGCAGCATGAAAAGAGCACTACTTGCATTTTTAGCTCTTCATTAAACTGGCCATGTGACTCTAAGCAAGTCACATAGCTTCAGTGTATCTGTAAAATGAGCAGCATGAATCTAACAATCATGAGGTCTTTCCCAAGTCTAACATTCCATCTTCTGCAATGGCATCTATAGCCAAGAATTCAAACTCTTTATCTTCTTCAGTTCTTAACCACCCACTCCCATCACTCCCTTCCAAAGTGACTTCCAATGTTCCAGGCTCTGTGCATGGATGGAAAACAGAAAGGTGCCATCCTCAGCTGAGTGAACTTGTGTATATCTTTCCCTCATTTTGGACACATAGATTCCAGTTTGCTGGCAGGGAAATGATGGGCTTCCTTCCAACTCTGCAAGGGAATTAGGGTCAATAAGTTGGCAACAGAGTATTGAGGGTCCACAGGATACCATGAGCATAAACCGAGAATAGAGTCTAAAGAACAGAGGTTTTTCTCAATTCTATGAAGAGATGAAAGTTTCCAACCAGCTGCAAAGTTGATGGACAATTTTTGCAACAGCCAGGGTTCCAGCTAAGGGTGATGATGGGTTAGTGTGCAGAGACAGAAAAGGGTAGAGCCAGGATCATGGAGTGGTGGCCATACTGAGATATGCAGAGACATTCATGGCTTCAAACCAAGGTATGCAGATATCAAGGATTCTAGAGCAATGAAAAGGTATCTGCCTCCAGGAAATGTCTTAGCTTGTCAAAGAAAATGATTCCATGTAAACTGTTTGTTTGCTAATCTAGCTCCTATTTTTGGTCTAGATTCTACAAAGCCACTATCTTTGACAGTGTGGTTACAAACATTTCTATCTATATTTCCACAACAGAAAGCTCGGGATCTTTTTTAAATCCAGTTTGGTCTGCTCCTTAAATAGAGATGCAGATGTTAGTTTTGAGGGTGTTTTTATTGGAGTTAGGGCCCAATCCAGGGTATCTTAGCTGTCTGCCTTAGAGGCTCTTACCTTCATTCCTTCGAAAATATCTTGGGTAAGGACAGGTTCACCTTTACGTCCTTTCTGACCAAGAAGGCCTTGAATAAAATAAGGAAAAAACTTGTGAATAAGTGCACAGACACAGAACTTTGTTAATACTATGATCTGGTCAGATAGAGAATAAAAGGGCAAAACGCTGAAATTATGTGGATTATTCTATGGCAGAATTTGTTGTGCTAAGAGCCAAAGTGCATGTCCCCAAACAGGTGCTGTGTCTCAAATTCGTATGCCTACTCCTTCAAGTCAGAAGTCTCTAAAGAGATTTGAAAAGAGGAGATTTTGAATCTATTCAGAAAGTTTATAGAACTTTCATAAAGAACTATTATATAAATAAATTTTAAAGAACAAATATAGAGCTTTTTCTATAGAGTGAGATTGAAAATAATTTAGGCTTTGCATGCCATATCTGGGCTCTGTCTCATAATCTTTTTTTTTTCTGTCGTTCTTTTTTTTTTACTGTTCAGATAGATTTGTCTCCATTTTCCTGCCACCAATTTCCCCTGCCCCACTCACCCCCACTTCCCATACCCAATGCTTCCCCCCTTTGGCTTTGTCCATGGGTCCTTTATATATGTTCCTTGATTTGACACTTCCCCTTCTTTTCCCTGTTACCACCCTCCCTCCTTCCCTCTCATTACTGTCGGTTTCTTTTTTTCTTGCAATGGTGCTGGTTATATTTTCTTTGCTTGTTTGTTTTGTTGATTAAGTTCCACTTATAGGTGAGATCATATGATATTTGTATTTCACCCCCTGGCTTATTTCACTTAGCATAATGCTCTCCAGTTCCATTCATGCTGTCATGAAGGTTAGTAGCTTCTTTCTTTTTCTTTCTTTCTTTCTTTCTTTCTTTCTTTCTTTCTTTCTTTCTTTCTTTCTTTCTTTCTTTCTTTCTTTCTTTCTTTCTTTCTTTCTTTCTTTCTTTCTTTCTTTCTTTCTTTCTTTCTTTCTTTCTTTCTTTCTTTCTTTCTTTCTTTCTTTCTTTCTTTTTTCTTTCTTCTTCCTTTCTTTCTTTCTGCTGCATAGTATTCCATTGTGTAAATGTACCATAGTTTTGTGATCCACTCATTTATTGATGGGCACTTAGGTTGTTCTCAGCACTTGGTTATTGTAAAATTGTGCTGCTTTGAATGTTGGGGTGCAGAAGTTCTTCTGAGCTGGTGTTTTGGGATTCTTAGGGTACAATCCCAGCAGTGAAATCACTGGATCAAAAGGCAGTTCCATTTTTAGCTTTTTGAGGAAATTCCACACTGTTTTTCAAGTGGCTGCTCCAGTCTGTGTTCCCACCAACAGTGTACTAGGGTTCCCTTTTCTCCACAACCTCACCTGTTGTCTGTTGATCTGTTTAGGATGGCCATTCTGACGGCGAGAAGTGGTATCTCATTGTGGTTTTAATTTGCATTTCTCTGATGGCTAGTGATGCTCAGCATCCTTTCATATATCTCTGGGCACTGTGTATGTCCTCCTTGGAGAAGTGTCTGTTCAGGTCCTTTGTCCATTTTTAATTGGATTGCTTGTCTTCTGCAGTGCAGTCATGTGAGTTATTTATATACGTTAGAGATCAACATATGTCCAAGGTTTCATTGGCAAATATATTTTCCCATACAGTTGGTTCTCTTTTCATTTTTCTGATGTTTCCTTTAGCTGTGCAGAAGCTTCTTATTTTGATGAAGTCCCAGTTGTTTATTCTTCCCTTTATGTCACTAGCTCTAGGGGACATAGTCATGAAAGTATTGTTGCACGGAATATCTGAGAATTTTCTGCCTATGTTCTCCTTAGGACTTTTTTGGTGTCACGACTTATATTTAAGTCATTTATCCATCTTGAATGTATTTTTGCGTATGGTTAAGCTGGTGGATGAATTGCAATTTTTTTTGCATATGGCTGTCCAGCTCTCCCAACACCATTTGTTGAAGGGGCTATTTTTACTCCATTTCATACTTCTACCCTGTTTGTTGAATATTAATCAATCATAGAGACATGGGTTTATTTCAGGGCTCTCTATTCTGTTTCATTGATCTACATGTCTGTTCTTATGCCAGTACCAGACTGTTTTGATTTCAGCGGCCTTGTAATATACCTTGATATCAGGTATTGTGATCCCTCTTACTTTGTTCTTTCTCAAAATTGCTACAGCTATTCAGGGCCATTTATGGTTCCATATAAATTTTTCAAATGTTTGTTCTCTGTCTGTGAAATATGTCATTGGTATTTCAATAGGGATTGTGTTGAATCTATAAATTGTTTTGGGTAGTATGGACACTTTGGTCATGTTAATTCTTCCAATCGATGAACATGGTATATGTTTCCATTTATTTGTGTCTTCCTTAATTTCTTTCTTCAGTGTTGTGAAGTTTTCTGAGTACAGGTCTTTTACTTCCTTGGTTAAGTTTATACCTATGTACTTTATTTTTCTTGTTGCTATAGCAAAATGGGATTTTTCCCTTGATTTATGATTCTTATATTTCATTTTTGGTGTACAAAAATTCCTTTGATTTCTGAATATTGACTTCGTATCCTATTGTTTTGCCAAATTCACTTATTAAGTCGAGTAGTTTTTAGGTGAAGTCTATGGGGTTTTCTATGTATACTATCATGTCACCTGAAAACAGTGATAGTTTTGCTTCCTCCTTTCCAATATGAATGCCTTTTATTTCTCTTTATTGTCTGTTTGCTGTGGCTAGGACTTCCAATACTATGTTGAATACAAGTGATGAAAGCAGACAACCTTGTCTTGTCCCAAATCTTAGTAGGAAAGATTTTAGTTTTTGCCCATTGAGTATAATGTTGGATGTAGGTTTTTCACATATCACCTTTATTATGTTGAGGTATGCCCCCTTTTCTCCCACTTTGCAGAGTGCTTTTATTATAAATGGATGATGTACCTTACCAACTGCTTTTTCCACATCTATTGATATGATCATGTGATTTTTGTGTTTCCTTTTGTTTATGTGATGCATTATGTTTATTTATTTGAGAATATTGAACCATCCTTGCATCCATGGGATGAATCCCTCTTGATCATCGTGGATTATCTTTTTAATGTATTGCTGGATATGGTTTGCCAATATTTTGTTGAGGATTTTAGTGCCTATGTTCATCAGCGATATGGGTCTGTCGTCCTCTTTCTTTGTTGTGTCTTTCTCTGGTTTTGGGACTAGAATGATGCTGGCCTCATAAAAGACTTTGGGAGACTTCCCTGTTCTTGGATTTTTTTCAAAAAGTCTGAGAAGGACAGGGGTTAGCTCTTCCTTAACAATCTGTAAAATTCTCTTGTTACACCATCTGGTATTGGGGGTTTGCGTGCTGGGAATCTTTTGGTTACTGCTTCAATTTCACCAG